CCCGAAAGCCTCCGGAGGCACTCCCCAGAGGCCTCCGCTTGAATTTGAAATCATCCGCATTCGTCCGCACTCCTCCTGGAGGCCTCTGGAGGTGCTCCCCAGAGGCCTCCGCTCGAATTTGAAATCCTCCGCAGTCGTCCACACTCCGCCCGAAAGCCTCTGGAGATACTCCCCAGAGGCACTCCTTCGCACTCCATTTGAAAATCATCCTCGCCCCTCCTCCTCCTCCATCCTCATCATTCCTCCTTTTCCCCCCTCCTCCCTCCCTTCCTCCTTCCTTCCCTTCCCCCCCTTCCCCTCCGAAGTGCAGAGTTGTTCCTCCTTTCTCCTCATCCTCCTCCTTCTCCTCCACCTCCTCCTCTTCGTCCTCCTCCTCCTGATTCCTCTTTCCTCATTCCTCATTCCTCATTCCTCCTCCTCCCCTTCACCCTCCTCTTCCTCCCCCCTCCTCCCCCACTGCCTCCCTCCCCCCTTCCCTCCCCCTTCCCTCCCCCTTTCCCTCCCCCCCTCCCCCCCGAAGTGCAAAGCTGTTCCTCCCTCCTCGTCCTCCTCCTCGTCGTTGTCGTCCTCCTCCTCCTCCTCCTCCTCCTGCCTCCTCCACCTTCCCTCCCTCCCTCCCTCTTTCCCTCCCCCCCCCTCCCCCCCGAAGTGCAAAGCTGACTCGTGGGCCGGGCAGGTCGGCGCTTCCGCCTCCACCCAGCTTTGGTCCATTGGGGGGGAGGGGGGGGAGGGCGAACACGATTTTTGGGCTGTAACAGATGAATGCGAAAATGTGGCCCCACGTGCGGGCGAATCTCATGGGACCGAGAATGTGGCCTCACGCGCGGGCGAAGATAATGGAAACGATGCAGTGGCCTCATGGGACCGAGAATGTGGCCTCACGCGCGGGCGAAGATAGTGGAAACGATACAGTGGCCTCACGCGCGGGCGAAGATAATGGACACTCCGCCGTTCCAGGAGGACCCTGTTTGAGCGTAGGGCGAAGATAATGGAAACGATACAGTGGCCTCACGCGCGGGCGAAGATAATGGACACTCCGCCGTTCCAGGAGGACCCTGTTTGAGCGTATTCTGGCCCCGCGCCCGTTTCGCGGCACACCCCTCACACGTTTCGTACGACACGCACGATCATTACTTCTCATGCAGAACGCCATTACCTCATCATATCGACGGATGGTCGTTTTTTTACGCACGCACCGGTAGTACTACTGGTAGTAGTAGTAGTAGTAGTAGTAGTAGTAGTAGTAGTAGTAGGGTAGTCGTAGTTGTAGTGGTAGTAGTAGAAGTAGTAAACAAAGTAGTAGTAGTAGAAGTAGTTAAACAATAAGTAGTAGTAGTAGTCAGTAGTAGTAGTAGTAGTAGTAGTAGTAGTCGTAGTAGTCAGGTAGTCGGTAGTAGGAGTAGTAGTTAGTAGGTAGTAGTAGTTAGTATCCGTTGTAGCAGGTGTACTAGTCGTAATATAGTAGTAGTAGTAGTAGTAGTAATATAATAGAAGTAGTAGTTTAGTAGTAGTAGTAGTAGATAGGTAGTAGTTAGTTATAGTAGTAAGTACTAGTTTTGTAGTGGTAGTGTAGTGGTAGTTGTAGGGTAAGTGGTAGGGGTAGTGTTAGTAGTCGTAGTAGCAGTAGTAGTCGTAGTAATAGTAGTAGTAATAGTAGTAGTAGTAGTAGTAGTAGTCGTCGTAGTAGTAGTAGCAGTAGTAGTAGCAGTAGTAGTAGTGCTAGTAGTAGTAGTAGTAGTCGTCGTCGTAGTAGTAGTAGTAGTAGTAGAAGTAGTAAAAGTAGTAAAAATAGTAAAAGTAGTAGTCGTAGTGGTAGTAGTAGTAATAGTGGTAGTAGTAGTAGTAGTATCAGTAGTAGTAGTAGTATCAGTCGTAGTAGTAGTAGTAGTAGTAGTAGTAGTAGTAGTATTAGTAGTAGTGGTAGTAGTTGTAGTAGTAGTCGTAGTAGAAGAAGTAGAAGTAGTAGCAGTAGCAGTAGTAGCAGTAGTAGTAGTAGTAGTAGTTGCAATGCTCGGTTGAAAGTAGTAGTAGTAGGAGTATAGTAGTAAGAGTAGTAGTAGTAGTAGTAGTACTAGTTTAATAGTACTAGTACTCGTAGCAGTAGTAGTAGTAGTAGTAGTAGTAGTAGTAGTAGTAGTAGTAGTAGTAGTAGTAGTAGTAGTAGTAGTAGTAGTAGTAGTAGTAGTAGTAGTAGTAGTAGTAGTAGTAGTAGTAGTAGTAGTAGTAGTAGTAGTAGTAGTAGTAGTAGTAAGTAGTTAGTAGTTAGTAGTAGTAGTAGTAGTAGTAGTAGTAGTAGTAGTAGTAGTAGTCGTAGTCGTAGTAGTAGTAGTAGTAGTAGTAGTAGTAGTAGTAGTAGTAGTAGTAGTAGTAGTAATCGTACCAATAGAATTCATAATACAAGTAGTCGTCGTGGTAGTAATAATAGTAGCCCACTGGCTCACCACGCGGCGTTGTCACCGCACCGTTGGGGGGCCCCCGGCACCTCCCCGCCTGCCCAGAGCGCGCGGACTGCGCTGGGGAGGACTGCCACTGCGCGCCTGAGCTGGCGAACGCGTAGACACGTACCCATTCCGTGGGGGCCCAAAAATATACACCACCACCTCCTCCCTCCCCACCTCCCTCTCGCTGGAAAGAGGACGGAGCGAGGAGAAATCGACGTGGTGGTGGTGTTTCTTCGGGCCCCCATCCCGCCGCTCCCCGAACCTCTCCCGGGGCGCGTGCGTCCGGACCAGGGCCTCGGGGAGAATCCAGCCGTGGCGACGGGGGATGCGTGGCGGTGCTGGAGGTCGGAAAAGGGGTGTGGCATACAAAAGGGGTGCGGTGCCAACATCGGGGAGGATGGCGGTGCGATCAAAGATGGATAACCTCGCCAGATCTCCAGCATTGGCACCACACCCCTTGACACCACACCCCTTTCCTACCTCCAGCGCGGTATCGGTACCTTTCCCTGTCGCGAGCGCCACTGCCCCCGGGCGCGGCCAGCAGCCCCCCGCGCCCCGGCTGCGAGAAACCATCGGGCCCGGCGGCCTTGGGCACCGCCTCCTGTGCGGGTGACCTCGCGGCGGCGCCCGCACCCTTGGCGTCTGGCTCAGGCCTCGGCGGCAGCTCGGCCCGCATCTCGTCCAGCACCTCCAAGGGTACAGGAGAACGGCGTAGACAGAAGTCCCCTGATGCCCCGCGCGAGTCTCTTGCATCTGCGCCAGGCCCTCTTCCCTGGCGCGCGGATCGCGCTAGGGGCGGCGCTGGAGGCGCAGCCCGAGGATTCCAGCGCTGATCCAAGAAATCCCGCGCGGAGGTCCGAAAGGCCACTCCCCAACCAGTGTTGCATGTAAGGGTTGTTACATCTCTTCTAAGGAACAGGCCCTGAATAACGGTCAGGCGGTTGCGCTCGCCGTCGCCGCCCCGTCGCCGCCTCGTCGCCGCCTTCGTCTGGGCCTGAATCTCGGTCTGGCGGTTCCGTGCTCGACGTCCCCGCCCCGTCGCCGCTTCCCTCGTCGTCGCCTGGTCGCCGCCCGTCGTCTGGGCCTGATTGTCGGTCTGGCGGTCTCGTGTTCGCCGTCGCTGCTCCGTCACCGCCTCGCCGCCGCCCGTCGACTGGGTCTGTATGTTGGTATGGCTGCACAACATGGGTCCTCCTTTCTATAGACTCTCCCCCCCCGGCGTTATCGCCCCCCTTTCGGGTATGTAAAACACACATGATTATGACCACATGTCTATCCGAAATATGAAATCGCAATGTCCCGGGCCAACCGGTATCCCCCCCTGAGGTTCCCTAGTTAAAAACACTATACGGTGACATCTTTTGTTCTAGCATCGAACTTGTGCCGCGAATCCTTTTGCAACAAATGGGACGAAGTGCAGACGCGCGCGTCGTCGCGCGCGCATGCCGAAATCCTTCAAAAACCTTCGGTGCCGGAAAGATTTCGCAATCGAGTTACCAAAAAACATACAACAACACAGGATTTCGTAACACTGAGTTGCTAAAAAAGCTTCCGCGCGAGCTCTAAGACAACCATCGGTTGTTCAAGATTTTCACAACATGCTACCAAACGGGCGTCGCGCGCGCGCATGCCGAAATCTGTCGAACGCCCTTGCGCGTGTGCCGTCGCGAGAATCCTCTGCAAAATATTGGACGAAGTGCAGACGCGCGCGTCGTCGCGCGCGTACGCCGAAATCCTTTAAAACCCATCGGTTTCGGAAGAATTTTAAAATCGCGCGTCCAAAATACCTACGAAAACACAAAGTTTCGCAACACGGATGTTCAACAAAAACGTGCGCGCGCGCTCTTGCGGCGTCGTCGTCGTCGTCGTCGCCGTCCTCCCTCCTCCCGCGTCGCCGTCGTCGTCGTCGCCTACGTCGTCCTGTGTCTTTCCTCGTGTTCGTCGTCGTCGTCCTCTTTGGCGTCGTGGTCGTTTCCGTCGACGTGGTCGCCCTTCCTCCTCCTTTCTCGTCGTCGTCGTCGTCGTCCGTCGTCGGCGTCTCGTCGTCGTCCCTCCAATTTCGTCGCCGTCGTCGGCGTCTCGTCGTCGTCATCTCGTCGTCGTCTTCCGTCCTCCCTCGTCGCTGTCGTCGTCGGCGTCGCCGTCCTTCCTCCTTTTTCGTCGTTCGCGTCGTCGCCGTCCTCCGTCCTCCCTCGTTGTCGTCGTTGTCGTCGTTGTCGTCGTTGTCGCCGTCGTCGTCCTCCCTCCTCCCTCGTCGTCGTCTTCGTTGGCGACGTCGTCGTCGTCTTCGTCGTCGTCGGCGTCAGCTTCGTCGTCTTCGTCGTCGGCGACGTCGGCGTCGTCGTCGTCGCCGCCGTCGTCGTCGCCGTCGTCGTCGTCGTCGTCGTCGGCCGTCTTGCTTCTTTGGCCTTCTTGGGGCGCTCTTGGGACGCCCCCGAGGGCTCCAAGACGACCCCGGAGCGATATCTGTGCTCGGTCCCGCATGGGTGTTGCAAACCAAGTTGCGGGTGGGTGGGTGGGATGATTGCGCGAGCAATGGATTTGACAACTTCAAGTTCGGCAAGTGATTGATTCCACAACGTAGGTTGACCGACCAATTGCGCCGCATAGATTCTCATTTCTAAAAAGAGAATAGACTCTACCCCCCCCCCGGCGTTATCACTCCCCCCGCATCCTATGTAAATCACATACGATTCTGACCAAAGGTCCTTCCTAAATGTGAAATCGCAATGTCCCAGGCCAGCCGGTATCCCCCCCCCGAGGTTCCCTTGTAAAAAGTCAATACGCGGGGACAGCTTTTGTTCTAACAGAAAACTTTTTCGCGAAACCCTTGCAAAAAACGGGACGAAGTGCGCACGCGCACATCGTCGCGCGCGCATGCCGGAATCCTTCAAAAACCTTCGGTGCCGGAAAGATTTCGCAATCGAGTTTCCAACAAAAACATACAAAAAACACAGGATTCCGCAACACTGAGTTGCTAAAAAAGCTTCCGCGCGAGCTCTAAGACAACCATCGGTTGTTCAATATTTTCACAACATGCTACCAAACGGGCGTCGCGCGCGCATGTCGAAATCTGTCGAACGCCCTTGCGCGTGTGCCGTCGCGAGAATCCTCTGCAAACAGATGGGACGAAGTGCAGACGCGCGCGTCGTCGCGCGCGTATGCCGAAAACATTCAAAAACCTTCGGTTTCGGAAGGATTTCGCAATCGAGTTTCCAAAAAAACATACAAAAACACAGGATTTCGTAACACGGATTTTCAACAAAAACGTGCGCGCGCGCTTTTGCGTCGTCGTCGTCGTCGTCGGCGTCGCCGTCCTCCCTCCTCCCGCGTCGTCGTCGTCGTCGCCTACGTCGTCCGTTTTCTTTCCTCGTGTTCGTCGTCGTCGTCGTCATATTTGGCGTCGTGGTCGTTTCCGTCGTCGTTGTCGCCGTGGTCGCCCTTCCTCCTCACCCCTCGTCGTCGTCGTCGTCGTCCGTCGTCGGCGTCTCGTCGTCGTCCCTCCTATTTCGTCGCCGTCGTCGTCGTCGTTGTCGTCGTCGTCTCGTCGTCGTTTTCCGTCCTCCCTCGTCGCTGTCGTCGTCGGCGTCGCCGTCCTTCCTCCTTCTTCGTCGTTCGCGTCGTCGCCGTCCTCCCTCCTCCCTCGTTGTCGTCGTTGTCGTCGTTGTCGTCGTTGTCGCCGTCGTCGTCCTCCCTCCTCCCTCGTCGTCGTCTTCGTTGGCGACGTCGTCGTCGTCTTCGTCGTCGTCGTCGGCGTCAGTTTCGTCGTCTTCGTCGTCGGCGACGTCGGCGTCGTCGTCGTCGCCGCCGTCGTCGTCGTCGTCGTCGTCGTCGGCCGTCTTGCTTCTCCGGCCTTCTTGGGGCGCTCTTGGGACGCCCCCGAGGGCTCCAAGACGACCCCGGAGCTATATCTGTGCTCGGTCCCGCATGGGTTTGCAAACCAAGTTGCGGGTGGGTGGGTGGGATGATTGCGCGAACTTCAAGTTCGGCAAGTGATTGATTCCCCAACGCAGGTTGACCGACCAATTGCGAAGCATAGATTCTCATTTCTAAAAAGAGAATATACTCTACCCCCCTCCGGCCGTATCACTCCCCCCGCATCCTATGTAAATCACATATGATTCTGACCACATGTCCTTCCTAAATGTGAAATCGCAATGTCCCAGGCCAGCCGGTATCCCCCCCGAGGTTCCCTTGTAAAAAGTCAATACGCGGGGACAGCTTTTGTTCTAACAGAAGACTTTGTCGCGAATCCCTTGCAAAAAACGGGACGAAGTGCGCACGCGCACATCGTCGCGCGCGCATGCCGGAATCCTTCAAAAACCTTCGGTGCCGGAAGGATTTCGCAATCGAGTTTCCAAAACAAAAACATACAAAAGCACAGGATTTCGCAACACTGATTTGCTAGAAAAGCTTCCGCGCGAGCTCTAAGACAACCATCGGTTGTTCAAGATTTTCACAACATGCTACCAAACGGGCGTCGCGCGCGCATGTCGAAATCTGTCGAACGCCCTTGCGCGTGTGCCGTCGCGAGAATCCTCTGCAACAGATGGGACGAAGTGCAGACGCGCGCGTCGTCGCGCGCGTATGCCGAAAACCTTCAAAACCCTTCGGTTTCGGAAGGATTTCGCAATCGAGTTTCCAAAAAACATACCAAGAAACAAGGTTACGCAACACGGATTTTCAACAAAAGCGTGCGCGCGCGCTTTTGCGTCGTCGTCGTCGTCGTCGTCGTCGTCGCCGTCCTCCCTCCTCCCGCGTCGTCGTCGTCGTCGCCTACGTCGTCCGTTTTCTTTCCTCGTGTTCGTCGTCGTCGTCGTCCTATTTGGCGTCGTGGTCGTTTCCGTCGTCGTTGTCGCCGTGGTCGCCCTTCCTCCTCCTCCCTCGTCGTCGTCGTCGTCCGTCGTCGGCGTCTCGTCGTCGTCCCTCCTATTTCGTCGCCGTCGTCGTCGTCGTTGTCGTCGTCGTCTCGTCGTCGTTTTCCCTCCTCCTTCGTCGCTGTCGTCGTCGGCGTCGCCGTCCTTCCTCCTTCTTCGTCGTTCGCGTCGTCGCCGTCCTCCCTCCTCCCTCGTTGTCGTCGTTGTCGTCGTTGTCGTCGTTGTCGCCGTCGTCGTCCTCCCTCCTCCCTCGTCGTCGTCTTCGTTGGCGACGTCGTCGTCGTCTTCGTCGTCGTCGTCGGCGTCAGCTTCGTCGTCTTCGTCGTCGGCGACGTCGGCGTCGTCGTCGTCGCCGCCGTCGTCGTCGTCGTCGTCGTCGTCGTCGGCCGTCTCGCTTCTCCGGCCTTCTTGGGGCGCTCTTGGGACGCCCCCGAGGGCTCCAAGACGACCCCGGAGCGATATCTGTGCTCGGTCCCGCATGGGTGTTGCAAACCAAGTTGCGGGTGGGTGGGTGGGATGATTGCGCGAGCAGTGGAGTTGACAACTTCAAGTTCGGCAGGCGATTGATTCCACAACATAGGTTGACCAACCAATTGCGCCGCATAGATTCTCCTTTCTAAAAAGAGAATAGACTCTAGCCCCCCCCCCGCGTTACCATTCCCCCGCATCCTATGTAAATCTCATATGATTCTGACCACATGTCCATCCTAAATGTGAAACCGCAATGTCCCAGGCAAGCCGGTATCCCCCCCTGCGGTTCCCTTGTAAAAAAACCATACGCGGGGACAGCTTTTGTTCTAACATAAGACTTGTTCGCGAATCCCTTGCAAAAAACGGGACGAACTGCGCACGCGCACATCGTCGCGCGTGCATGCCGGAATCCTTCAAAAACCTTCGGTGCCGGAAGGATTTCGCAATCGAGTTTCCAAAACAAAAACATACAAAAGCACAGGATTTCGCAACACTGATTCGCTAAAAAAGCTTCCGCGCGAGCTCTTGCGAAATCTTAAGAAAACCATAGGTGGTTCAAGATTTTCACAAAATGCACCCAAAAGGGCTTCGTGCGCTTGCATGTCGAAGTCTGTCGAACGCCCTTGCGCGTGTGCCGTGGCGACAATCCTCTGCAACAGATGGGACGAAGTGCAGACGCGCGCGTCGTCGTGCGCGTATGCCGAAATCCTTCACAACCCATCGGTTTCGGGAGGATTCCAAATCGTGTGTCCAAAAAACATACAAAAAAACAAGGTTTCGCAACACGGATTTTCAATAAAAGCGTGCGCGCGCGCTTTTGCGTCGTCGTCGTCGTCGCCGTCCTCCCTCCTCCCGCGTCGTCGTCGTCGTCGCCTACGTCGTCCTTTTTCTTTCCTCGTGTTCGCCGTCGTCGTCGTCCTATTTGGAGTCGTGGTCGTTTCCGTCGTCGTTGTCGCCGTGGTCGTCCCTCCTCCTCCTTCCTCGTCGTCGTCGTCGTCGTCCGTCGTCGGCGTCTCGTCGTCGCCCCTCCTATTTCGTCGCCGTCGTCGTCGTCATCGTTCTCGTCGTCGTCGTCTTCCTTCCTCCCTCGTCGTTGTCATCGTCGGCGTCGCCGTCCTTCCTCCTTCTTCGTCGTTCGCGTCGTCGCCGTCCTCCCTCCTCCCTCGTCGTTGTCGTCGTTGTCGTCGTTGTCGCCGTCGTCGTCCTCCCTCCTCCCTCGTCGTCGTCTTCGTTGGCGACGTCGTCGTCGTCTTCGTCGTCGTCGTCGTCGGCGGCGTCGTCGTCTTCGTCGTCGTCGACGTCGGCGTCGTCGTCGTCGTCGGCGACATTCAGCACCCAGCACTCATCGCAATCGCTCCAGCATGGGCTTTGCAAATCAGGTTGCGGGTGGGTGGGTGGGATGATTGCGCGAGCAGTGGAGTTGACAACTTCAAGTTCGGCAACTGGATTGCACCACGTAGTTCGCACCACATCGATATCAGAACAGATATTCTCTTATTCAGAAAAGAACAACCCTCCCCCCTCTCGAGATTATCGGTATCAGCTTCGCATTGCAAGTTACATGTGGTTTTGCCCCACCGCCCATCCTGCATATGACCTCATACCATCCCAGCCCATCCAGTATCACCCCCCCCCGCCACCCAGTGCAAAAAGCTATGCGCGCGCACTCGTTCATCAAAAATCACAAGGTGTCCTGACTCCCTTGCAACCAAAGTGGGCGAAGTGCACACGCGCATTTCAAACTCGAACGTTCCGAAAGCGCAACAAAACATTGTTTCGCAACACGGAATTCCAACTCGCGAGTTCAACAGAAAAACCACAGCTTGTCCCAACCATCCTGTGAAGCTGGGTTCTCGTTTTGAAGACACGGTGCCCCGCGTTCCTCTCCTCTCCTCCTCCTCTCCTCCTCCCCCTCCTCCCTCTGCCAATCACCATCATCATCATCAGCATCATCATCAGCATCTTCATCATCATCATCTTCCTCATCATCATCACCATCGTCATCATCATCGATTTCGGCACCGCCCCAGTGTGGCACACCACTCACACGCTTCGTGGCCCCATAGGGAGCTCCACCGAAGGCCGCAGTGGCGGTGTCCACATGCGTCCGCGCCACCAATTTCGGCACACCCCCACGCGTCTCGTGGCCCCACAGGGAGCTCCACCGAAGGCCCACTGGCGGTGTCCACATACGTCCGCGCCACCCATTTC